AAGAGAGGTTCTCCTCCTCCTCTGTTCTGCATTGGTGAGGCCACATCTGGAGTATTGTGTCCAGTTCTGGGCCCCTCAGTTCAAGAAGGGCAGGGAATTGCTTGAAAGAGTCCAGCGCAGAGCTACTAAGATGATTAAGGGAGTGGAACATCTCCCTGATGAGGAAAGGCTGAAGGAGCTGGGTCTCTTTAGCTTGGAGAAAAAGAGACTGAGGGGTGACCTCATCAATGTTTACAAATATGTAAGGGGTGAGTGTCAGGAAGATGGAGTTAGGCTTTTCTCAGTGATGACGAGTGATAGGACAAGGGGTCAAGGGTGCAAACTGGAGCATTCAAGGTGAATATCTGAAAATAATTTTTTACTGTGAGAGTGACAGAGCCCTGGGACAGGCTGCCCAGGGAGGTTGTGGAGTCTCCTTCACTGGAGACATTCAAAACCCACCTGGATGCGTTCCTATGTGATGTGCTCTAGGTGACCCTGCTCTGGCAGGGGGGTTGGACTAGATGATCTTTGAAGGTCCCTTCCAACTCCTAGGATTCTATGATTCTATGATTCTATGAAATTCCATGTCAGGTCACTGTAAGCATGGCAGATGGATGTGTGTGTATCATCTCGACTCAATTACACACAATAGCCTGTAAGAGCTTTGTTCTCTGTAGAGTTTGTGAAACAAAATGGGCCCCTGTAGGACTACCTTGACCTCCTGTGTTTCAAATACAAAAAATGCTGTAGGACATAGCAGCACATGCTTACTCTTGTTGCTTGCTCACAGGAAGAAAAGCTCTGGTATGCCATAAAGATCTCTGCCTACGTCCTTGGTACTGTCCTGGTCACCATCACTGCCTTAGTGAACTCTTTTTCCTGGTAAGATTGTTTGAACAAAGGGGCTTGAGGAGAAACTTTTCTGTGAAGAGAGGAAAAAGTGAATGATAAAAAGATGGGCAACCAAGAACACTTATTCCCACAGGTATGTGCAGACTATCTGGGACACTTCAGGCCATTTCTGGCAAACAATGTGGCTGAAGTTCTATGACCTGTATGAGGGAAATGAGTGGAGCATCTTCCTCTTTGGTGAGTTACTGGGTTAACCTTCTGCTGTAGGAGGAACCATCTATGTATTACATCAAACAGGGGGACATGGATGTGCCTTCCCAAACTCACTAATCCTCCCACTGGAAAAGCACATGTAGGCTTCAAAGCCAGCCACAGCTGATGTAGTGCAACTCTGCTGCCTTTGGACTGGTTCACCACTAGGCATTAGGAATTTATCTTTTTGCTGCTGCTGAAACAACTTTTCTATATTTTGCTCCTATAAGAACTTAATAACTCAGTAGAACTAATTACTGAAAATTCAAGTAAAAGTAGTGAATTTTACTCTTGCTGTAGCACCTATAAAACTCTTCTCTGTCTGTGATTAACAGCTGGTGAACGGGCCTGGTAGGGACCTTGCAATGTCCAAGGGGTCAAATCAACCTTAGCCCATAAGTATTTAAAAGCCATCCATGAGAGAGAGCCTCCAACGTCCCAGAAAAGCCTTTTCTTAGCCTCAGTTGTGACAAGTTGCAACCTATGAGACACTTGTCTTTAACCCCCTCCCCATTCCCTAGGTGCTACCTGGATGTCAGAACTTACCCACATTCCGTTTTAAAGCTTCTCAGGGCAGAGGATACACACCTGGCATATCTGGGTCCCAGTAAGGTCCTCTAGATACCACGCCACCATCTTTTGTTTCTGGTTTAGCCATAGTTCTCAATTCATTCACACTTCTCTGCCCTCTCCTCATGCCACAGGGGCTGCATTGGTTCCTGGCCTTGCTTTCTGGTGCTTCAATGGAATCCTTATGGTGGCTGATGTAACTGGAAAGCCAACTTTCATTACTCGCTATCGCATTCAGCTGGGCAAGAATGATCCTGTAAGTATTTCTCACTCTGCCTTTTCTGCTGGCTAAACACTTTCTGCAGTCTCTTATGCTTGGAGGAGGGAGGAGAACCTGTTATGCTTTTCTCTTGCACCCAGATAGTATTCAGAGAGAATCAAGCAGAGTCTTGTTTATCCACTGGTGAGAGGATAGGCAGTCCTTGTAATTATGCTACTGATCAGATCTGGATTGGCTGCTTGTCAAAAAGTTGATCGCAAAACTAACACAAAACCAGCCTACAAATCTGAAAGCTCCTTATCCTCCCAAATCAAAGCCACATTTAGCCTTAAGTCCTGACTTCTCTTTTGCAGGTGGACACAAAGAGATTGCGCCAGGCCATCTACACAGCACTGTTCAATCAGTTCTTTATCTCCTTTCCCATGCTCGTGCCCATGTTCTACATCATGAAATGGTGGGGCAACACCTTCAGCAAGGAACTACCCACCTTCCAGTGGTTTCTTGTGGAGTTAATCATCTTCACCCTTATAGAGGAAATTCTCTTCTACTATACACACAGGTGAGCCGAGCACAGGAACAGGACTCTGGGGTCTGCCCCTGTGCCTTTAAGCTTATACCCACCTCTTGCAACAGCAGGAGCCCTAGTTCCCCCTAGAATCCACACTTACATCATGATGTTCTGGTGCTGCAAGGCTGCTAGTAACTACAGTGAGCAAAAATGAGTAAAATTACAAAGGTGGAGCAGCTTAGAGGCTAAGAAACAAAGAGGTCAGTGACTGATCTTCTGCTCACTTGTACAGCACTTAGGAAACAAGGCCTGACTCCTGACACTGCAGGCTGAGCCCTGACACCAACATTAAAGGAAAAAAACTAAAACAAGGCAGAAAAAGGCCTGCAAGGCTGCTTAGAAGCAAGACCAGCATTCTCAGAAATATGTAGGTTTCCCTTTTGGACAAAAAAAAGCAAACAAAAAATGTAAAAAACAATTCCTTAAACGCCCACAGAGCCTCAGTTGCCAGTAGGTAAAGTCAAAACAGTGAAAGTGAGTCTTCTGACAAAGACTTCCAGGATTGAGTAAATCAGTTATTCAGGGACTTGGATTTCTCTGGACTTAAGTGTAACATCAGCCAGTGGACACATGCATTGAGTGAGGGCTCAGTGCTAAAGAAAGAGAGGGGGAAGCTGGGAGTCCTACACGTTTACTCCCAGCTGCTCTGAAAGCTTTAAAGAACAGGTATGAGCAAGTTCCCAGCAGAAATTCTGTGTTACTTTACTGTAGGTTCCTTTCTTTCAGAGCTGAAACGCTGCATTTCTGTTCTCTCTACCTAGGCTTGTCCACCTCCCACTCCTGTATAAGCACATCCACAAGAAGCACCATGAATGGACAGCCCCCATTGGTGTGGTCTCCATCTACGCTCACCCAGTAGAGCACATAGTAAGTGGATTCTCTCATGGTCATGCTCCAGGTCCTGCACACAGTGTGACTTCCATGGGGTGAGATGGAGTGACAAGAAGATTCCACTTATTAAATACTAGTCCCTGTTAACAGTAGTCCTGGGCTGCAGCACCAGCTCTCTCTCCCTAATGGACAGCCTTTGGGCAGCAGAATAACTTTTTACATTCCAGAGTCCAGCAAAGCCTGGCTGGTGCAGCAAGCTTGGTCTGGGCAGCAACCCATTGTGCCACTGTAGGACACAATGAGATGACACAGGCAGGATCATCACATCACTGCCTTTGCACATGCCCATGGGCCATGCCTTTTGACAGCTGGGTTTCCCAAGACCAGCTTCAGCATTATTCCAAGTTGAAGCTGAAATCCAAACCTCTGACTCCAGGGTGATTTACTGGAGTCATGCTGCCCTCACACCCCTGGTTTGCTCTCATGTTTAACTTCTACAAGCTTAGGGAGCTTGGGCTGTGACTATGTTGTGCAGTGAGTAAAACTCAGTGAGCTCAAAGTAAATGATTTCTTTGATAATTATGTAATTTTAGCAGGGCGTTTGCATAGGGATCTTTCATTTATGCTGTCTGCACAAAACTTATGTCATATATCATCCAGGTGAAACAATTCAGCTCCTAGAGGAGAGTCTGCTTGTTGTGGACCCATTAATGAAACAGTTTGCTTCTCCTTTCTAGCTCTCCAACACACTGCCTGTCATGACTGGACCAATGGTCATGGGGTCCCACATCGTGTCCATCGCAGCCTGGTTCTCTCTCGCTCTTATAACGACGAGCATCTCACACTGTGGCTACCACCTGCCTCTCCTGCCCTCACCAGAATTCCACGACTTCCACCACCTCAAGTACATCTGGGCACTGCTCAGCTCCCCCTTCCCCTCCTGCCTATGCCATGGCACCATTGATAGACAAAGCTCCTTTCTGAGGGGTGGGTGGGTTAGAGGGTTAGAGGCCTGCTCAGCTCACCCACCACAGGCTCAATGCTGTCAGTTCTTAAAGCAGTTGAACAGAGATGGGGATTCCAGAGAACTCCAGCTCACACACCTACCAGTCACCTCCCTGACACCCACCCTCCTCCCCCAGCTAACTTGGAAACCTATGCCAAAGCACAAGCACTGCAGCCAGGGGTGGGCGTTTCATGTGTGCTAGGATTACATGGGAGGAAAGCACGTAGTGTCTGAAGTAGCAGGAATTACCTGGACTTTCCCCAGCACGAGCACAGGGTCAGAGACTCTGCAAGAGTCTTCCTAGAAGTTTAGCAGACACCACATGTGATCTAGGATAAAGACAGAGCAAGGGCATATCACAGAGTTGAAATAAATCTGCAGGGAGCTTCCCTGCCTCTCCCTCTCCCATACACTGGGATTAGTAATACTGATCAGATAACAATCACAATTAACCCTTCCTGGCAGAGATTCCCAGCCTCCTCCTACACTGAAGAGAGCAGTTTCAGCAGGTTGTTCAGGGATATAGTGGAAGAATTGTTCCCATCTTCCACATATACACTAAATTCTCATACATACTCCCTCAGTTTCCTCTCCTACAGTCCTATCAACACCTAAATACTGCGCAACACCCAAGCCATGGTGCCAGTTCTCCCTGTCAATCATTTCCTCCACAGCTCAGTTCATGTCAGGACATGGATCACTGCTGAGCTGATGCCTTCTGGGTATAATGGCTGTGCCAGCATCCCACTGCTGGAAGCATGGCAGCTCTGGATCTCAGGGCAGCCAGATCTCTGGACCATGCAGACACAGCAATGTGGCTGTCCAGCTGCTTGACAGCTCTGAGCTGCCCAGGAGGTGGCTGTTGTTCAGTGCCACATTTCTGGATAGTGATTGCACCAGAGAGGAAAGTTGCAGAAGTTTCACCCAGGCTTCTTTAGGGCTGCTTGGGAGACTGGTGCAGCAGCAGAAATGCCATGGACAGCTTACCAGGGCTCTGAAAGGAGATGGAAACAGGAAAATGTAAGCAACCTCAGTAACTTCCAGTGATGTTTAATCTCCATTTGGTTTCCAGGTTCAACCAGTGCTATGGAGTCCTGGGAGTGCTGGATTATCTGCATGGAACAGATAAAGTGTTCAGACAAACCAAAGCCTTCGAGAGACACAAGGTCTTGCTCAGCCTCACACCACTCTCAGAAAGCATCCCTGAGGCACCCAAGAGGGCAGAGTGAACCCAGCAGCCTGTGGTTGTAGCAGAGCCCACCAATTAGCATAGCAAGAGACAATGATTTATGCCAAATAGTATTTTAAATGGGAAATGAGTTATTACTGACATGTAACAAAACCCAAAGCAGAACTTAATATGCTACTTGAAATGATTGCACTTTCGCTGCCTGTTGTTTTCTATGTAAGGCACAAAAAAAAACTGCTCTAGAAAGCTATTTTTAAACCAATCTTAGACTTTTTCTTTTATTAATTAGTTGCACTGTTCCTTAGTTCCAGCTAACTGCACATAAACCAGATGTGTTTTGGGCTTTGGGGAGTTCCTGGGGAGTTGTCATTATTAAGGTTTATACACTTCAGTTTTCACAGGCTGTGCTCTGGCCTCTTTTCAGCAGCACTCTCTAAAAATACCAGCAAGATCACTACAGGTACATGTGGTAGGACTAAAACCACTATTTTTCTGAGACTTGGAACACCTGGAACATGGGATGTAACCCCATGGGACCACAAGTGGGACCACAGCTTCAGAAACACTCTCCCCTGTACATGCAACAGAAGCCTGAGCTGTGTGGAGGTCAGTGAAGAAAGGACCACACAAAACCCCCACACCTTCATGCACATCCATAAGTACCTACACAACCAATTGAGACACACTGTGAATTTTCTCCAGGAGCTATTTTTCATGTCTCAATCCTGTCTGGAGGCCTAGGACAAAAATGACACCTGACTCTCACCACTGCTAGACCCACACCCTAAGCAAGCCCCTTCAAGGAGAGGACAGGCAGGGCTAACCTGCACTGCACTTACCCGCCTGAGGAAGCCAAGTCTCTCCCCCCACCTCCTCCAGTCCCTACAACCACATAAGGCTGAACCCAACCCATGTATCCACCCACTGTCCCCAGGGGGGGCAAGTCAGCAGAAGAGAAAACCCAAGCAGCATTGTCTTTTGAAGTTTTTATTTTTATACATTTTTTTTTGTATTAAAAAGGAAAAAGCATAATTACCACAAATTACAAAGGACTAAAGCATTACTAGAATAATGAATCACATCAGCCTAGAAAGCAGATACTCTGAATAATATTAATGTTATAATACAAGCTCTCATTCAAGTATTTTACATTTTTCTCTTTTCCTTTCATATATGATGATGATCCTAGCACATGGGTCAAAGATTATGTACTACTGACAGAAGATGGATCATGTACAGCGGGCCATATTAACAAGATTTTCCTCCCAAGTGATACATGGTCTGTGATGAGTCATTTTAAGTTTGTCTCTACAATAAATGCAGCTGAAGAAGGTTGCACACACTTTCTAGTTTTAGGAAACAGAAGGCTGACGTTGGGACACACAGGGTTTAAGAAGGGCCAGCACATCAAAGCATCACCCCTTTTGCTCCAGGTGAGCGAGCAAAGGGCACCCTTGCCAGGGTGCAGCTCAGCATGGGGGTTTCTGGGCAACAAATCCAAATGTTTCCAACCCCAATGGGACTGGGACAGGCTGGGAGAGGAGATGGGGGAGAAGGGCTGCACCGGGAAGGCTCAGAGGATCAAGCACCCCCTCCTGCGAGGGGCACCACTGGCTGGACCCAGCCCCTGCACGGGGCTGCTACCTGGAGAGCGAGTGGCAGGGGGACAGCGCAGGGACCCCAGGCTTGAGCCAAGCACAGCGGGCAGGCCACGGGGGGCTGGCTGGCACCAGGGCACTCCCTGCTCCTCTGGAGCTTCCCACCAAGGGGATGTGCTTGTCACAGATACATCGGTCCTATGTTCAAGTGTCTGCAGAAAGTGAAACTGTAAACTACTCATTGAAATGCTGCCCTCCAGCCACCTGCTCCACACCGCCGAGATGAGTAATTGTCTTTTTTTTCTTTAAAAAAAACGTAATCAATCTATTACCTGTATTGGAAACTTAAAAAAAAAAAAAAGTCAGTGAGGCATTTAACATCAAGTGTAGCAACCCTCTCTTAAAAAGAGCCTAGCATCCATTTCAAAACAGTGACAAAGTGACAAAACCAGTCTCAGAGGAGACAGGAAAAAATAAACATTGCAAACACAACTTGCTACATTTACAGTTTAGTTTTTTTGTTGTTTGTTTTTTTTTCCTTTAGAGAACAACTGGAAAGGCATTAACAGCTAGAAGGCCCCCCCCCTCTGCACTGCCATGTGAAACGTGTACAGGCACGTGGCAGGACACTGAGGTTAACACATTGTTTTGTTACAGTACAGTCGACCAGGCCCGAGCAAGACGAGCAGTTGCCGAAACTTGAGGCACCCCAAGGGCTACAGTGACAAGCCATCATGGGGGCACGAGGGGCAGCAGGAAGAGGGGCAGGTGAATGGAGCAGCAGGATTATTACTTTAATTTCTCCCCCCCTCCAAATGAACATGGAAAAGCAACAAAGCCTTCTGAAACCACACCTTCCACCTCCACTCCTGACCTCACGCCAGAACTCTGCACCCGTCACAAAAGCCTGCATCCCAAAGCCTCAGCAAGGAGCCCCGGGCTGTAGTGGCCTGGGACTGCCTGAGGAGAGGGGTGAGATGAGGAACTCTCCCCTGTCACTGCCCGAAGGCCTGATGGGACAGTGGCTGGACACCTGCATCATGCAGCCCTCGTGAGCTGCAGGATGGGTCAGTGTTGTGGTGAGTACATGAGCCCAACGACTGAAATAAAAAAAAAAAAAAGCACAAAACATGACCATAGCAAAGCATCCAAGCTAAAAGCAAGGCCAACACCCTCCTCGGTGGGAGGGAAAGTTTCCTCAAAAAGTCAAACCCCTCTTTGAACAGCTGTCCTTTTGTCCTTCTGAATGCAGCTGCACAGCAGGAGGGAAAGTGCCTCTGCAGACCTGTCCCCTGCACAAGCTGTAAGACTGGAAGGCCTTGCAGTGGTCAGCCCCTCCTCAGTAACCACAGCTCGGCAGAGCTCCTGCTCCTCTGCCACCACCCACCAGAAGGGGCCATAGTCCTCAGCAAGGGAGCACAAGTGCACCTTCTGCCTGTGTTCCCTTGGTCTGGGGGAGGACAGGCTCGAGCAAGCCTGGCTGCTGTCCAACAGAGACAGTAAAACAAGGCACACAGTCCGCAAAGCTGGAGGACGGTGGGACCACTGGGATTGCTCTTCTGACCCACCTTTCCCTGGGAAACAGGGGGGCTTCACACAGGGCCCTCAGCCACACTGATGTGACAAACCACTGACTCAGCAGAGTGGGGAAAAACTCTTCTATGCCAAGACCAGAGTCTCAGACTTTGACTGGTGAGTACATGAGCCCAACGACTGAAATAAAAAAAAAAAAAAGCACAAAACATGACCATAGCAAAGCATCCAAGCTAAAAGCAAGGCCAACACCCTCCTCGGTGGGAGGGAAAGTTTCCTCAAAAAGTCAAACCCCTCTTTGAACAGCTGTCCTTTTGTCCTTCTGAATGCAGCTGCACAGCAGGAGGGAAAGTGCCTCTGCAGACCTGTCCCCTGCACAAGCTGTAAGACTGGAAGGCCTTGCAGTGGTCAGCCCCTCCTCAGTAACCACAGCTCGGCAGAGCTCCTGCTCCTCTGCCACCACCCACCAGAAGGGGCCATAGTCCTCAGCAAGGGAGCACAAGTGCACCTTCTGCCTGTGTTCCCTTGGTCTGGGGGAGGACAGGCTCGAGCAAGCCTGGCTGCTGTCCAACAGAGACAGTAAAACAAGGCACACAGTCCGCAAAGCTGGAGGACGGTGGGACCACTGGGATTGCTCTTCTGACCCACCTTTCCCTGGGAAACAGGGGGGCTTCACACAGGGCCCTCAGCCACACTGATGTGACAAACCACTGACTCAGCAGAGTGGGGAAAAACTCTTCTATGCCAAGACCAGAGTCTCAGACTTTGAAATTTAAAAAATAATTTAAAATCAACTCAGATTTTGGGACATTTCTTACTTTTTCTACAATCCAAGCAATTCTACAGCCTGCCCCACAAGCAACAACTCCACAGCAGGGGCTGTTCCACAGAGGAGCTCGTTCCTCCTTATTTCCTACTTCTTTTGTTGCTAAAACGCAGACATTTGGATTCAAATGAGAACATGCACCGAACAAGAGGAGCACAGGGACACAGTAGCAAAGACCAGCCACGGCACATCCAGACCCGCTCCCACTTGCAAACAACCAGCAAGGCATCTCCAGTGTCCTTGAACAACCTCCAATCTCCAGCCTCCAAGGCTCTTCCTTCCCAAATCAGGAGCAAACCCAACTGTATCCATAACCTCAGAGAACTGACTCTAGCTCACAAGAGAGGGAAAATCCAGAGATAACAGTCACGGCCACAGCACTGTTCAAGCTTTACTTGCCCGTGTTGCCTGGCTATCACCCCGCAATCCTAGAGCACTGCTGCTGTAACAGAGCACACCACGGGCTCAGAGCTTGGCACACTGAGATCAGGCCTGCAAGCAGTACCAAAGCTGCAGGGCAATGTGGCAGGGGTGGACAGACCAGGGCAGGATCACACCACCAGGAAATGGCAAAGCAGCAGCGTCCCAGCCTCACTCAAACCCAGCTCTTTACTTTCCATTCTAGCAGCAGTTCACCAAGCTGCTCCATGCGGACCAGCCCACCTCCTCCTCCCCACCTAAAGCAGCATCTTCAACGCAGTGTCAGTTTGGGAAGGTGATAACTTCTGCCAGGGCCCTCTGAGCATCCACTGCTGCTGATCAACAACTCACCCAAGCCCACCCTCTTGATCTCTGCTCTCAGCTCCTGGCTGCTCTCATCCACCAGCCCCACAGCCATGCAGGGACAGCCCTGGAGAGAGGGCTCCTCCTCCCAGCTATGACAGCACAGGATCAGCTGGATACTTTGGGAAAATGCTGTTCATTACCAGCTTATGATTTTGTAGGGACAGCAATGCAATCAGCTGCAGCTTTGAGCAGCCCACTGCTGCCCACCCTGCACTGCGCACAGAAGCTTTGCAGCTCAGGACACAGTGCTGGAGCCACAACCAAGTCAGCTGCAAAGCAGGTATCCCGACCCAGGAG